CCGCCATAAACCTTCATATAACGGATGGCGAATGGCGGTTTAGGTTCAAACCGTGATGTTTTTCCGTTATAACGTGGTTATAACGGATATTTGACAACATTGATTTATTTATTATTACTATTATTTTTATTATAAAATTATTTTATTTATTATTTTTAAAAATAAATATGTATATATAATATTTTGTCTATTGTGTATTATAAATAAATATATATATATATATATAAGAGGGATCCACTTGCTTCAAGAGAGTCTAATTAGACTTACTTCATTCAATAACTCATATTTTAATTCAAATTTTAACAATTTAATCATTAAATTAAAAATTCTTAATGCATAAATCAAGTCTACAAATTTTTAAAAAATTTGAAAACTATTTGATACTTCGTTATATTAATTCAAATTAATAAATAATCATAAAAATATTTTATACGTTAATTTAAATCTATATAAAGAAGTATCAAATAGTTTTCAATTTTTTTAAAAAATTGTAAATTTGATCTATGCATTAAAAACTTTTAAATCAACAGTTAGATCATTGAAATTTGATATAAAACATGAGTTATTAAGTGGAATAAGTCTAATAAGACTTGAAATAAGTGAATATTTCCTCATATATATATATACCCTGAATCCTAAACCCTATATACACACTTATATTTATCACATAACCAAATATGATATACACACATACATATAATATATAACAACCACTGTGCACAAATGCAAGCCTAGCATTTTGATTTTTGCAGAGTAAGTAACCCCCATTTCCACTTGTTAGAGAATAAGCTTTTAATCAATGGGGCCCACAATAATTTCCTCATTCTTACCTCTTCCTTCATGCCAAACACACCATTAATACTCTCACTGAACCTAAACTTAAAACCAATCCAATGCAAAAAATAAAGTCATATTCAAACAAGATCACGCAAAAAAGCTTAAAATAACCATTTGCATGAAGGGTTGGTTTATTTTTGAATTTGGGCTGGGTCCAACTCAACTCCAAAAGTTAACTCATGACATGAGGATTGTCCAAGCCTCTTTACTTTGGTCATAGCTATAGTCAACGTGGGATTTTAGTATTTATGACACATAACTTTCCAACTAAACATTTATCAAACTCCTATAGAACTCCAACCCTGTCCAATACACACAAAAACCAAAACCAAAACTTTAAAAAAATGAAATAAAAAATGGAAAATTTGATGTTTATATTACCTTGTCCCTCCCAAGCGCTGCATAGTGTTGTAAGCCATTGCATGAACCATCCTAGCAAGTATAGGGAAAAATTGAAATGAGGAGAGAAATACTAAGGAATGGATTAACAGCCATCAAGCCTCCACTTCATTAGCATGCATACTCATGTTGAATGACTAGGAAATGTCAGAGCAAAACCGTTTTGGGTTACAGTTCAAGTATACCAACTTTGTTGAATTCTGAAATTAATTAGGTATGGGATACCTGAAAACCTTGTGTTATGAACAAGCATTAACTCATCTTTTTATCTGGGATTGTTATAAAAGCCAAGACCAAGCCAGCCAGGGCTTTCAATTACACATTCCTAGAGTAATGACTGAATGAAAGCTCAAGTTCTTATTCATTGAATGAGCACAACGTTGATCAAGACAAGTATGCAAGAAGCAAATACTGCTATAATATAAATCTAATTTAACATGTAATATTTATTGATTAGATATTTGCCACAACTCAATTTCGAAATGTGGCAAGGTCCGCAAGGATAAGCTTCCAAGATTGGTTGAAAAAACTCAGTAAACACAAAAAAAAAGGAAAAGAGAAATAGCAATTAAAATTATTATGTGATTATCTTAATTGACACATTTCTTAACCATCATTTGAGTGATGCCCATAATATATTACGTGTTTCTCCCAAAAGGGAAATGGAAAACATGCTACACCAATATGAATTTATGCCATTCTGATTAAACTTTAAAGGCCTTCACCCTCCTGCTAATGCCTCTGTTTCCGAGAGAAATGATTATACTTTCCAGTATAGATGAAAAATGTCAATTAAATATGGTAGCTGGATTTTCCTTTTAATTATAAAAAGCAAAATCAGTCATTATAATTGTTCCAAAATAACAATGCTTACATCTCACAGAAGGTACCTGGTGAACTGGCATATGAGAAATGGTAGTCTCAGGAGTGGGGCTTCTCAATGCTTCAGAGAGATTGATGCATGCTGCCAAGCACTGAAAAGGATCCTCTGCCTGCAACCACCAGCGCTTTCCTTCAAGAGGCCTGTCTGCAGAATCAAATATATCATCCAGGTGGTTCTCAGTAAATGCTATTCGACCATCATAAGATAACTTGTCGACACCACCAGCATACAAATTTGCAAGATGTATTTTTAACCAATGCAAGCCTGACTTCCCTAGAGGACGTCCCTCTGCAAACTCAAGCATGCCTCGACATAAATCAGAACCAAGATGGTTCAAATATGGGTGCATGGGATAAGCTCGCCCTCGAAAATCAAGATTGTGAGGATAATAGAAGCCTTCTTCATCCTTCATCTTTCGTGCAACCTACATCCAAATGAAACAATGATGAAGATATGCAACATCTCCTGGAAAGCATTTGATATATAACTCAACCTCTTTAGGATTAGCAGATTCATACAGCAAGTTTAAGTTCTATGTCACATCGCTGTGAATGTCTCTCACTGTTCTCCTTTTTCACAGCTTTGACTTTCCACTTCCATTTTCGGATTTTTGCTTCATCTTCTGTATCCGGTTCCGAGGGGAGGGGAACCTTTAAGATAAAAAGAAAATTCAATAAAAAAAGCTATGAAATATGAAGAGGTCACCAGAATGGAGAAGTGCACAAAGGAAAGACAGCTAATTTTAGATGCACATACAAAATTACTTAGACACAAGCATGCAACATTTTCTGAAAATAAATAGGTAATAAGACTGTAGATATTCACTTCATTAAAATAATTAAGGATTTTGTTTTATCCATTTATGTTTAGCATATAATTTTTTGAAAATCTCTTCTTGTGTGTAGGGTAGTACGCAAACAGTGAGAATTTGTGTGCTATCTTTTCTATTTCTCTTGTGGAATAATTAAGGATCTTAGAATTTGGGTTTATATTTCAACCTCACAAAACTAGCCTGTAAGGTGAGGACTGCCTAAGCCTTATAAGCAGTCCATCACACCCAACACCATGAAGGTGCAGGAGGCTGCAATGCAAGCAGCCCAAAAAGGCTACAATTAATGTGGGCTACAGATGATCACAATTAAAGAGGCTTTCCAACAAAGGAAGATGCTGGAATTTTTAGCAAACAAAAAAACAAAGGTCTGCAACAAAAAATTAGTGGAATCTTACAAACTATGAAGTGTACAGAACACACCACACAACAAGAAAACAACAGAAATGTCTTGAATTTGCTGTAGTTAAGTTGCAGCACTAAAGAAAGGCCATGTTCTTTCTTCTCTATTTTTTGAGTCAGAAACCTGAGGTTGAAGGTGCAAAGGGACAATGAAGTCGAAGGTGGTACATCCTAGAAGGATTTAACCTCTTATTGGACCTAAGGGGTTTTCCTCTTGACTAATCTATCTATAGCCCACTAGGCATCCAACTTATTTCAATTTATCAATAGCTTATGTTGGGTATGTTACATTCCTCTAAATATTCCACCCACTGTTCCAGCACAAATCATAGCTTCTGCTCCACTTCCACTACTCACATAACACTAACAGGCATAGCATCCACCAGTGGTTCCACCCATTTGGGTCTTTTGGGCTTAAGTTGCGACTTAAACTTCTTTAGACTCTTATTCGTGTTTAGTAGAGTATAAATACTCCATGTAAGCACTTTTGGATGAGATTAATTCTGATTGAGCATTTAGTAACCATGGGTTGAATAACAATACCCAATCCATAATAAACAATTAAGAATCAAGGGGGAAATTTTAAATGGGAATTCATGCGCATTATTAATTAATGTATACATATCAAACCCAAGTGTTCAATAAAACTAAAAAGTGTGTGCATGCTTCTAAAAAAGAAATCTATACTGTTGTGCTGAGAAGCTCCTCTATTTGGAGATCGTTTCTTCCAGTAGAATGGCTGTGTTTTGAGAGAATTTAGGAGTTCAACAAATAAATTTAGCAAGTTTGATTAGCACTCACATCTTCACGATCCACCAAACCAGCCAAACGTCCTCCATTAGCCCATATTTGATCTATCACACAAATCACCCTTTTGTTTACCCTCCATTTGGTATTGCCAAGGGTATTAAGGGCCTAGTTACAAAGCAATACCAGAATTAATTTCAACAAGTATTAACTGTAAACCATGAACAGACTTGCAAATGCACATACAGTTTTAAAAAGAAATCCCAACCTCAAAAACAGGATCAAGTTGACTCTTGGGAGCCCTCTTAACTGCTTCACGTTGTTGCTTGGCTCCATGTATTCTCATAACATAAGATGGCAAAACCAAGTATGCACCTTTGTCATACCTACAAAAATATTGCAATAAGCAAAACAGAACCTAGTCATAACTCATAATTCCAAGCTGCATGTCAATATGTTCTGAGCATAAAAATAAAATTAGTAAAAATAAAGCAAACTAATGAGATATTTGAAGTTTGAACTTGTTCATATGATTCAAATTATAATATCAAAATCGTAGGCATTATTAGACAAGGCAATTAAACTAAGATAAAAATAGTAGAAAAATGTTAAATCATTACAAATATATAAAAATAAATAAACAAATAAATAATGAATTGTATAAACATCTGCAGTACCCTGTCCAGCTAATAGGTGGCACCAACATTGGCATGTAAGGGATGACCATGTGCCTTGCCTGTCAATATAAACACATTTTGATGATGGCATCAATCTCATGACCTTATGCATGAAAAAGCAAATGTATAGCTGAAAGTATTGATCGTAATAATTCTGCCTAATAACCTACTCAAGGAAATGTGGACATGAATTCAAGTACAATCATTCCCTGGAGTTACTTACAGACTTCTCAAGGCCATTTTGCACCAGAGGATCACATTCAATAACACCATATCTCCTAAATTCCTTCCTAGTCAAGTGGAAAGCATCCATTATTTAAGAAAGAAAACATACTTGTTCAAATTTATAGATATTGATTGTGAAAGAGTAACATCAATCTCACTGTGAATCATTTGACAATGTTCTAAGGGTATGCTTAAATGCAGGGCGTATATCTGGTGGACCATCTCCAAACTGATTGGAGGGTGGCTGAATGTAGGCCGTTTCTATTAACAGTTGCATCAATCGAGAACCAACCTGGAATGACGATAAATACATTATAATACAAAGAGAAGAAACCTTCCCTGTTCAAAGGTAAGTACTAGCATTACAAACCTTTACTTGAGCTTCTTGACCCCAAGGTTTCCAATTATCTTGTCCCCGAACTACTCGCATTGCTTGTTGCTTCTTCTGTTTTTTGATCAAACCCGCAACTCTCTTCCGAAGTATGTTCTGCTTTTTATCCATTTCCTCGTTTTCTTCAGTCTGTTTTCCTCCTTGTACAACACGCGCAAGATCAGATGATTTGTCTGTGGTTGTTCTCTTCTCCCTCCTCATAAATTGGTATATCCTAGCCTGATCCACATCAAAGAGTAGAATTTCAGTTAATAAACACTTGAATATTGAAAATTCATAGTAGCAACATCCATGTTGAATAATAAAAACTGAAACCACGCACACTTTTTACTGAACATAAACTCAAGTGGCTGCTGTAGCAATGCATTAAGAGTTTGTTTGGATAAACCTCTCAAGAAACACTTCTCATTCTGTGAGGAAAAATGAAACAAGTTTCTCCATGAGTTAAAACTAGATTATGCACAAGCTAAGTGGTACTATTTTGGAAAAGCCACATGAGATGATGAGAAAGCTTTAATAATTGTACCTTACAGAAAAAGCTTATTTCATTTTTTTCTTTCTTATTTTTTTATCCTAGAAGTGCTTGTACTTATAGAATTTTATCCAAACAAACCCTAAGTATACTCAATATTTCCTTGAACAAAGCATGAGCATCAGAGACACATAGATACATAAATATATCAATCGTGCTCAACGGCTTCACCTATTTGACAAGCTTCTCCATGAGTTAAAACTAACTTATGCACAAACTAATTTGTAATTTTTTTGAAAAAGTTACATCAGAGACAGAGACAGGGACAGAGACTTTCTACAAATTAGTTTATGCATAAGCTAATTTTAACTTACGAAAAAGCTTATTTCATTTTGCTTTCCTATTTGTTTTATCCCAGAAGTGCTTATATAGAAGTTTATCCAAACAAAACCTAAGTACAAAGAGTATTGCCTTGAGCAATAGAGATACATAGATACACACATATATAAATGATATTAACAATAACATACCTCGTACTCAACGGCTTCACCTATTTGACAAGCTTCTTTATGAGTTAAAACTAACTTATGCACCAACTAATTTGTAATTTTTATGAAAAGGCTCCATCATAGAGCTTCTACAAATTAGCTTATTTCAACTTACAAAAAATACTTATTTCATTTTGCTTTCCTATTTTTTTATCCTAGAAGTATCTATATAGAAGTTTATCCCAACAGAACCTAAGTACAAAGGGTATTGCCTTGAGCAAAAGATATTAACAATAACATACCTCGTGCTCAATGGCTTCACCTATATGACAAGCGGCTTGAATGACTCGAGCAGTGCCGACCCCATTGGAATTGGTCATCAACAAGGCCATCAACTTGTGCATGACGACCACAGCCATCATGTCCGCAGGCAACTCGTTGAAATAGAGAGCATGGCTCAACCTGCACTTGCTGTCTTTGCAAAGCTCTTGATCAGCCACAATCGCATCCCGCAGAGGCTCAAACCAACCCAGGAACAGCGACTTCATGTAGGGCAAATTCGGCGCAAGCTTCTGCTCGCGCATGTCCTCCAACAGTTCCTCGTACTCCCTCGCCGCCTCCTCCCACGCCTCCGTCTCCGCCTTTATCTGCCTCCGCTTCAGCATCTTGTACTTGTAGCTGTTGCTCTCCGATTTCTCCTCCGCCCTCGCCATCTCCTCCAACAACTTCTGCACCTCTTCCTGATCGTCCTCCGTGTCCGTCGATTCGATAGCCTCCGCCACGCTCGCCAGGCCTCTGCCCAGCGCCATCGGAGGAGAAAAACCGTCGCAGAGCAACGACTTGGGCCGACCCACCCCGACGTTGGTGAAACCCTGAAATGGGCGTGCGTTTGCGCTTGTCCTTGTTTGGGGACCACAAAATCTAGGAGATGAAGAAGAAACACGAAGGTTGTTCCTTAAGGTTGCGGAGGCTCGCTTGGCCAAGTTACTCAACATTTTGGAGATGGGAGAGAGTGGGTTGAGTTGGGGTAACTGTTAAAAGATCTGAGACACAAACACTCCCAGCCAGGCAGCCGCCTTTAAACCCTCCATAAAACCTATTATGTCTTTGCCCCTCTCGTTGTGTTTTTCAAACCGGTTTTCGGGTTTCGCTTTACTCCCATTTCCTTTTCGGATCTTAGTTCTTAACGATAAAAATCATCTAATGTTAATATAACACATTTTTTCTTGAATATATTTTTTAAAAAAAAATTACATTACCTTAACTTAAGAGAAATATACTATCTTTGTCTTTTATAGTAAAATATATAATATAACTTATTTAAATTAATGTCTTACATTTATATTATTTACCCTTTTATCTCTTAAAATAAATTACACTTTTAAAATAACAAGTAAATTACATTTTAAACAAATATTATATTATCACTTTTCTATTATATTAATTTATTATCATTAAAAAGTAATTATTATAAAATTTAAAAAATTACTTTTAATTTAACTATTTATAAAAAGTGTACTCTTAATTTAATTATTCATTAGAAAAATATGATTTTAATTAAAATATTGTTTTAAAATTTTTAGTTTATTTTCATTCAATCACTTGATTAAACAATTATAAATATATATAAGTATTAAATTTTTTGATAATTATATTTTAATTAATAATAAATTTAACATAAATATATTTCTTTAAAAATTATATATTTAATATGCATATTTTTAGCATTACAATAATTAAATGTAATAAATAATAATTTATCATAAAACA